CGCTGGCGGGAGCCGCGGTCGCCCGGGCCGAGATTGGGGGGGCAAGGCGGGCGACAGAAGGCCGATGCCTCCGTCGCCCGGCCCTCTACAGAATCCACCCCCCAAACCTCCAGGTATTTCCCTCCTTAGAGCTGGCAACCCTACATTCCCCTCAGTGCCTGTTGGTAGGCAACTAAGCTTGGTCCTGTCACCTACTTTGGCCTTTGGGAGAAAACACATTGGGGCCAATCCTGATAGGGTTGCCAACTCCAGATGGGAAATTCCTGGAGACTTGAGGGATGGAGCCTGAAGAGGGTGAGGTTTGAGGAGGGGTGGGACCTCAGACAGGTACACTGCCATAGACTCCACCCTCCAAACCAGTCAGTCTCACATAGGGAACCATTGTTGCCAATCTCCAGGTGAGGGCTGGAGAGCACTCAGTATTACAACTGTTCTGCAGAAGGGAGGGCAGAAGTCAGCTGAAGTCAAAGGGGCAGATAATGGTAGGTTGGTGGCTAGCTGGGAAGGAGATGGGGTTGCCAACTACATGCTGACAAATTCCTGGGGATTTGAGGGGTGGAGCCTGGAGAGGGTGGGGTTTGCAGAGGGGTGGGACCTCAGACAGGTAGAATGCCATAGACTCCACCCTCCAAACCAGCCATTTAGTCCTGGGTAACAATTGTTGCCAATCTCCAGGTGAGGGCTACAGATTACTCACAATTACAACTGCTCTTCAGGTAGCAGAGATCAGTTCCTCTGGAGAAAACAGTGGACTCTGTCATTATACCCTGCTGAGGTCACCACAGCAAATTGACACTGTTTGCCCAAAGCCAGAGCACTGCCCCAGAGCCTCTTTCTAGATCCCGTTGTATTGCTTTCACAACGGGCTTTACTGCTAGTTTACTTATAAAGCACAGAATTGCTTGCAAGTTGTCATTCATCCTTTAAATGACTGATATTAGATACATTGTATTAGTTGCTTTTTCATTTGTGCAGTCAGAGGCATTTTTCTGTGAAGTGGACTGCTCACAAAACTGACTGGGCTCATGAGCAGATACCCAAGGAGCACAAAAACACCTAAGTAATATGTCTCAACTCAAAACCTCAGTTTTAAAAATATATTATGCTTTTTAAAAATTGGAGATGGCATTGCTAACGCTCATGTGGTGGGGGATGGCACCTTCAAAAAAGCAGCGCAATGTTGCAAATGGATGCTTCCATTTTAGTTTGGATACAATCAAAATCATTCCGCTCCGTAACTGTGATTGCCAAACGGGATGTGAGCTGAAGCTGCATGTAATCAAAGCATAGCTATCCGGATTGTCCCTTGTTGGTATCATTATGCAAAGCTGTTCATCAGACAAGAGAAAAATAGACCTAAATTTTAGATAAAGCTTTTAGATATATAATTTCATATCTCATATATCCATCTTAGTTCTATAAGCTTATCTTTCACATTTTTTTTTAAATTCAGAGACAATGCAGTTGTGATCTCAGCAAGATCGCAAAAAAGTAGCTCAGTTCTTGCCGCTGCCCTGTTCATACAAATGCTATGCCTTTCTCCTTTTGAATGATCAGCTTGCACTTGTACATTCCCAAATATATTACATGAAATAAAAGTCATATCATCATAGTATATACTTTAATGCACATCAGTTATGCGGAACATTAAAAATGTTCCCCTCTTTCTGATTTTTATTATACCTAGATATCGATCCATTCTCCAACTGATAAAACCATGGTATGATGAGGTGAAAGACTATGCCTTTCCATATCCTCAGGACTGCAATCCAAGGTGTCCTCTGAGATGCTACGGGCCCATGTGCACACATTACACACAGGTTATATAAGTTCCATTGTTCTTATGTCATGCTTTAAATCAAAGCCTGTCTATGTATGGTAGGTGTATTGTTTTTAATTTGACTTTAACCAAATGGCAATTACCTTTTCTTTAGATGGTATGGGCTACTTCCAATCGAATAGGCTGTGCAATCCACACATGCCACAACATGAACGTGTGGGGATCAGTTTGGCGACGAGCTGTTTATTTGGTATGCAACTATGCTCCAAAGTAAGTCGCTCCCTTTTAATTTTGCTTACTCCTATGTATCATGTTCTATCAGGCCATTTGGTTGGGTTGCCTCTTTCTCCTTTTATCTAATTTTCAATTATCTAATTTTTCTTGGTTCCTATTTGAGACATCTTTCTGGTACCCATCTTCATGAGCAAATACCTGGTGGTGGTTTCTCTTCACTGTTTGCATACACAAAGAATAATGCCAGGAAGTTATAATTCAGTTTGGCCAAAAAAGCATTACTATCCCTGGAGAAAAATTCAGGTGAGTAGCTGTGTTGGTCTGAAGCAGCAGAACAGAGTTTGAGTCCAGTGGCAACTGGACCAACAAAGACCAACAAAGTTTTATTCAAAGTGTAAACTTTCATGTGCAAAGCATGCTTCTTTAGACAAATTAGAGTAAAATCTCCTCAAGGGCTACTTACAGGAAAAAAAGAGGGTGGGGGCAGCCATTACTATCCCTGGGTTATGTTCATTTCTGGGGCACCATTTCAGATTTCAGTGTAGTGAGGGACAAAAAGATTTCACTGGGGGTGGAATGGGCAAGGTTTAAAAATACTGCTATGGGACATTTCAGGATTAGATTAAAAATATGATAACATATTATGATCACTATGTATACCTTTTAATAATTTTTAATTTCTTCTGCATTTCAGAACATTTAACATGTATCTATTAGTCATGCAGAGGTGCAAAGAATGATAATACATTTTGTACTGCTTTTGAGTTTTCAAAATGCTTCCTTTACATTATCTTACCTCTGTTCTTTCAATAGTCCTCTAAATTAGGGCAGTATTAGTATCCCTGCTGATGCTGACAGACTGTGCCTTGCTTAAGGCTACCTCTAAGTTTACTGTAGAGGCAAGATTCAAATGATTCATAGCTCAATTTCTCCCACCAGCTCTCAGGACTATGAAATCCTCAGCACTTTCAGTCTCTCAAGAACGATAAAGAACATTCAAATCCTGCCCATCAATCAGGGGTCGTTTCGTAGAAAAAGAGCTAGGGGAACTCATTAGCATAACTCATTAGCATATGCCACACCCCCTGACATCACTGGAAGTGTGTCATAAGGCCACACCCCCTGAAATCACCGGAAGTGTGTCATAAGGCCACACACCCGCCCCATGAGGGGCCCGGCGGTGGACATCCAAGGCCGGTGGGAGTGCAAGGAAGCCCCGCGAAGGCCCTCCCTGGCCCCAGACAGGCAGGGGTGGGGAGAGGTAGGGAGGAAGCAACTTACCCTCCCTCTTCTCCTGCCTCCACCTGGCTGAATGAGGGCCGGAAGCGGGGCGGCCGGAAGCAGGGGGCGGGGCTTTGTCATGTGCCCCGCCCCCCGTACCTAACCCGGGGGAACTGCGATCCCCCGTGATTCCCTCCGAAATGACCTCTGCCATCAATGCTTGAAAACTTATTTTATTTATTTATTTGATTTATACCCCGCCCTCCCCACTGAAGTATTCTTTCTAGGTCTCCACACTTGCCCATGAACTTTGAAACTTATTTGTATGGCCGTAAGGGATAGAAACTTTCTGTTACTAAAGAACAGTTAACAGAACATGTCAAGAAGCTTGGAACCCAGTACCAAATTCTGTACCTTTTCTGTTCCACAACACAGAATACAAAGAACCCTATGTATAACAAATGAAAGCCCAAATGTTATTGATTTGAAAGTGTTCCTCTAAATTACTAAATACATTATTACTTTTTTTTCCTCAGAGGGAACTGGATTGGAGAAGCACCATATAAAGTAGGGGTGCCATGTTCTGCTTGCCCTCCTAGCTATGGAGGGTCTTGCACTGACAATCTGTGCTTTCCGGGGGTGACGTCAAACTACTTATATTGGTTTAAGTAAAATGGTGGAATATTTCAATAACTGTTATAATGGAGTGATTGTGTAACAAAATGTTGTCTATTGAATTTTGCACATAGTGTATGTAGATATATATATATAATAATTATAATGCACATTGTGCATGTAAGATGTAGCATAAATCTAGCTACCCCTGAAAAACTGATGAAGATTTCAATATACACTATTAATATATAGAGTTGGATAAATATGCATTGACAGAAAGGAAGAGGGAGACAGACACTTTGCAACGAGGTGATTCACGAACAAGCAAAACTGGAGGCTTAGAATGAAGAAGATTTACTAAGAGAAATTTTGCTTTCTAAAATAGGGTCAGGCACTGAGTGAAAAGCCAGTCATTTTGAAGTAATCCCTTTGTATATGGTATTTGGAACTTCATCAGTGTATTCTGGCAAAATTCAGAATGCTTAATGACATGAAGGCCTACAGGCTACATAAATAGTCTCAGCTAATAGAGACTGGTCAGGTAGAAAAGTATCATCTATGGGTTCTCTGTGTGTGTTTGTGTGTCTCTGCACGCACTATTCTTTAGAATGAAGCAATAACATTCTAACAAAACAATCTAGAACTAAGGATAATCAATTTTTTTTTTAAAATAGACAAACCATTTTTAAGACAAACTGTTCTTAATTTGCGATGGTATACATTTGTATAGGTCTTTGCTGTAAAATCTACATAGCAGGAGTTCCAGGGCTGTTTGCTTGAAAACATGTGTGCTGTTATAATTGGGGTCCAATTTTATGAACTGACATTAAGACAAACAATTGAAGAAGAGAAGAAGAGATTGGATTTATACCCCGCCCTTCACTACCCAAGGGAGTCTCCGAGCGGCTTACAAACTCCTTTCCCTTCCCCTCCCCACAACAGACACCTTGTGAGGTAGGTGGAGCTGAGAGAACTCTGACAGAAACTGCTCTTTTTCCAGAACAGCTGTGCCAGAATTATGGCTTGCCCAAGGTCATCCAGCCAGGTGCAAGTGGAGGAGTGGGGAATCAAACCCGGTTCTCCCCGATTAGAGTCCACACACTTAACCACTACACCAAACTGGCTCTCATATTCAAACAATTGAATATGTCATTGCAGCTATAGTGACATTCATTACAAAAGCAGCAGAACCATTCTGGTCACATTACTCCACCTCTTAAAAACTGCTGTTACCAATGACCACAGTATCCATAGGATACTGCATGGTAGGATACCTGTGCTGAATGGAGCCATGCACACATATGCCTTTGCATCTGTTCTTCCAGCTGGTGAAGCAGAGCTTCAGGGTCAGTTTCATTGATGGCCTATGTTATGGCAGTATAGATTTTAAGATCATGTCCAGATGTGCAATGACATTAGGAATAGCTGTTGGGTTCGTCTATCCTGTGAAATCTTCTAGACAGAAAACAGCCAAAGGTGCTTTCTTTAGAGTTGCTCCTTATTAGCCTAAGTTGCCCACACTTCAAGAATTATGCTTTTTCTTGAATTGTCCCGAACTAGCTTTCTTATGGTTCAATTAAATAGTGTGACTAATTTGTTATACATGAATAATAACTGCAAATGAACTATATGTTGGAATGTCAAAACAATTATCTGTTTACAGTCAGTTTATTTTAAAAATCACATGCTTTGCCATTGACTACAGAAGAGCATTGGTTGCTCTTAGTGACACAACCCAGAGAAAGTAAAGTGTGCACAATCAAGATCCACTAAAATAATATGTTCCCTGAGGTCTGAATTATGCTAACCCTTGAGGCAGAGGGAGCACATATATGTTACATCATATTTGCATCCTCCTCTGGTACACCGCAAGGACTTTCAGTCAGACATTGCTTGTAAATTTCATGTTCAGAATTCAGTTCTGAGATATGTGATGGTCTAATTCAGACTGTGACCATGGAATGCAAGAAGGGCCATAAGTCTTCTCCTGTTCTGTTTTCCTCATCTAAAATGGCTTCAGGGAGCTGCTGTTTGCTGCTGTTGAGGAAAGCCATGTGTAGCCATTAGTATATTGCCCAAGTGGGGAAAATAGTGGTATACTGGGGCTGTTTCAGGTTGGGAAAACAGCATGGGGCAGAAACGTAAGCCCCCTTTTCCCATGCAATACAATCCCAATGCAAATTGGATCCCTACATGCCTGGGGTTTGGATTCAAAAAATGGAATTTGTGAAGCACTTCTGATCAAAAGTCCCCAAGGTGGACCAGAGGAGGGTGTGAGGATAACATAACATATAGGTTGGCCCAGATACAACATCACAGTTGTTAAGAGTTGTTAAGTGTTCACTAACAAAACAAGAACATCAGAGATATGCACTCTTAATCACTTCCTCCACGTTACTGACTTTAATAATTATGGAGGTTCAAAAACAGGTTAATCTGTTATGATAACACAGTGCAATTCATATGTAGTGTCAGCTTCACTTTGCATCTCAGTGGAGCAGATAGCTGAAATTGTTCTGGGGAAACAAATTTGACTTAGCATGTTTCCTCTGTGCATGTGTCATAGTGTTCTGCTGAGCATTTTGCATGCCCATGTAGCAGATGCTGGACAAGCAACAGCTCTCTAAAACTACAGAGCTTTATAACGTCTTGCCTTCATTGCCCAAGTATTGAAAGGTGGGAAGAGGGATGGTCAAAATGCCAACCCAACATGTTAGTATTTGGAAAAAATGACATAAAAACTGTAATAATTTCCAGAAATGGTGTGGTATGCTTGCCAAACAAACAATAATAATAATTATGATTCTGTAATGTAGTGAAATATTACAATGGATAGGATATATTTATATGCATACATGTTATTGCAGTATTACTCTTCTAAGTTAATATGAATAAGCTAATTCTGTGGAATAATTTTAATAATACAGGTAATGAAACTTTGCTTTCTCAAAATAGGTGCACAGATCTTTTCAGAGTACACAACAGTGGTGCTAACAGTGGGTGAAGCTCTGGCTCTTTTGAAACTGGTTGGCAATATTTTTATGTTCTTTCAATGAAGCCAGGATTTCGCTCACATATCCATTATATGCATACTTTTAACGGACAGTAGCAGGAAACAAACACAAGATAAGCTATTTCACAAGAGCAGCTTCTTTTAAAACAGGCAGCAGGTACTGGAGACTTCAACTGAACATTTTTCACATTGCAGGGAGGTCTTTCAATGAATCAAATATTTAACATATAACTGAAGGCAGATTTCCCATTTTAATTACTATATAGGAGGACATTGTAAAACTCTATGCTCTGTTTACTTGAAATCCTATAATACTTATCTCCTTTCTGTGGGTTGATGCCAGTGTTTTTTAAACTGTATTCCAAGAAACACAATCTATGGGCAGAGCTATGGGGAGGAGCCGTAGCTTGGAAACAGAGGGTTTGCTTTGCTTGCGGAAGATCCTGGATTCACCTGTTGTCATTTCCACTAAAAGGACAGCAAGTGCTAGGAAACCTATTTCTCTGCCTGAGATTTCCCAGCCAGAGTATACAATATAGAGCTAGAAGAGCCTAGGGTTGCCAACCTCCAGGTGGTGGCTGGAGATCTCCCGGGATTATAACTGATCTCCAGGGGACAGAGATCAGTTCACTTGGAGAAAATGGCTGCTTTGGACCTTATGGCATTATACCCCATTGAAGTCCCACCCCAACCCCCCTCCTCAGGCTCCACCCCCAAAATCTCCAGGTATTTCCCAACCTGGAGCTGGCAATCCTAGAAGAACCTGATGTAACATAGCAGAACTTCATATGTTTAAGGAACTTTAATGACATTCCTCAAAGATGAAAACCTGGGGTTTTTCAATGTGCATAACAGTCTTCCCTTGAAGACAGCTAGAACAACTTCTGTCAACGCCTATATGTATTTCTGCAAAGTAAAGTCCAAGTAGAATTTTAAATATGCTGTAGGATGCACTCAGTTGGCATGCAACAATTGCAAAAGGCTAACAGATTTGACTCATGATCTGTGTTCATTGGCAGATACAAATTCTATATACATTACTAGAGAAAGAAAGATGTGTTTCTTGGAATATAAATGTATGTAACAAGTAAAAAGTTTGAAAACCACTGGTTTGTATCATAGAAAAGCGGAGAAGTGGTAATTTACTTTCCTGACTAGTATCAGTGGTGCTCAGTAGATTAGCTAAATATGTAGCTGTGTGTATTTGTGAAAAACCAAGCCAGATACAATTCTTGAATGTACTTGCGTAATTACATAGAAAATATCTGGAACATCAGTCACACAACTGCCATTCTGATGTATTGCTAGCCAGATACAAACCATATAATATAGGAACATGAGAACAAATGTAGCCATATGAATGTTCACAACATTTTGTAGTTCAAGTTACATACTTCACAGAAGAGGAGAAGGTCTGGTAGCTAGTTCCTTGGACCTCTCACTGATTCCAGTGGAATTGCTACTTCTCTCAGTGTTTTCATTATGAAGTGGCTTTGTATGAACTGAAATGGGTTGGGGTAAAAATTGATCAAGTTCATAGGCTTTCTGATTAAAACAGATATTCCACTGGAAAATATTTCTTTTGGATGTAACTTTTTTTCTCCTTCAAATATAAAGCAAATATTTTCAAAGAAACTAAAATAGAGTAAATGTTAAATTAATCTTTAAACTGTATGCTAAAATTAGAAGAGACATAAGAATAAAAACCTATAAGGATGTCCCAAATGTCTTTAGCAGACCAGGTAGCTTTTAATACCATAATAATTGCCTAGGGTTTTCTTTCTGACTGCTTCACCAAACATCAGTCAGTAGCCATATTTTGGTGCTAATCTTTCATGTCTGCAGTGTTAACTATATACGGTGGTGTTACATGTCCCCCCCCCCTTGAGTGGGAGTTTTACTTTTGCTATTACCAGATACGATCTGGTAATTGTCACCTTCCTGACAAGGAGAAGGATTATATCCCATAGGATGCCAATAATTTTCTTTAAAAAAGAAAATCACCAGTAGATGTGAATTATTCAGATGGGAACTAGTGGGAATT